AAATGATGACAAAACTTTTAAAAAACTATCGCAGCCATCCTCACATTTTGAAGCTGCCCAATGAAATGTTTTATGAAGGAGAACTTCAGGTACCATTGTAATTTCAAAGGGAAATTAAATGTGTATGTATGTAAAAAGGTTGGAAAGTAATATCACACTATATATCAGCTGTTCAGTGTTCTCTATTGATTGTCAAATAGCTCACATGTATTCTAAGAAACACAATATTTTGATTACGTACAGAAATATAAAAGGTCAAATACCATATGCTAATTTCATGTGTTTTTCTGAATCCTACCAACTGAATTTTAACTTCTTTCTTATTTTACAATGGGTAATAATCCTACTAAAGCTTAAATACCTAAAAGTTAAACAAACACGTGCCTGTTTAGTTTCTGGGTTTGATACTGCTTTTAATTAGTTAGTAAAATATTCTATGGAAAACACTGATGATTTGTTTTTCACTGTTACAACAAAGCTTGTAGGTTTATCACCATCGTTTCATAAATCACAATATGGAAGAACCTTCCTTTCATTCTTCTTTTCAAAGTTGCCTTAATACCAAGGCTTGTGGTTTAACCAAATAGCAAATATGCATATAAATGAAATAAAATGTCTGTGAAAAACTGTAAGTATAAGAAAAGCATCAAGGTTATTGAAGAGTGGATTTAAATCTACCTTGTTATTCATGGGCAGTAGTGGATCTGATGTTTTATAGGAAATTTGCAAAATGTTTACACTTGGTATATTAATTAGATTATACACTGAAGCTGTGGGGTGTGACATCTCCTACACAGCATGTCCACAAGGTGGCAGATAGTGGGATGGCCCCTTAGGAGGTTAGCTGCGAATAAGGGTTTGCCCAAATAAGCAGTCACTGACCAAATGTCATAAGGTCACAGAGGATGAGGTGGGTCATCCTGGTGGTGAAGAAGTTTTGATCAAATGCCTCATGTCCAGAGGGGGGACCTTATGGGCAAGTCAGGATAACCCTAAAACCTCTACTTCTCTACCCCCACTGCCTTGTGGGTGAGACCAGGAAGTCAGAAGGCTACAGGAAGGACACCTGTACGAAGAAACCCCTAAACAGCACGTCCAGCAAGCATGTTGATGGTAGGCCAATTTCCCATCAGAGATGGACAGACTTGGATGTCTTTGACGGAGAACCATGCCTTGCAGTGGGTGGACACAGCCTAGAACAAATGAATGAATACACTGAAGAGTGGATTTAAATCTACCTTATCATTCATGGACAGTAGTGGATCTGTACAACAAAGTTTTGATGTTTTATAGGAAATCTGCAAAATCTTATACTTGGTATATTAATTAGGTAATACACTGAAGAGTGGGCGTAAATCTACCATGTCATTCATGGTCAGTAATGAATCTGATGTTTTATAGGAAATCTCTAAAATGCTTACACTTAGTATATTAATTAGATGACACACTAAAGAGTGGGTTAAAATTTATCTTATCATTCATGGGCAGTACTTGATCAGTAAAGGAAGGTTTAGATGTTTTATAGTAAATTTACAAGATACTTATACTTGATATGTTATTTGATTATACATTGAATTGTGGGTTTAAATCTACCTTGTCATCCATGGACAGTAGTGTATACAGACTGGTAGTTTCAAATTTTCCATTTTGTTCAGTTTTTAATGAAAACTACAATGTTAGTTTTTGTACCAATGTAGAACTTGTGAGAATGCTCATGCAAATGAAGTAAAAACCATAATTGACTATGGTATTTAAAAATTTAGAACATCAGTTTTTACCTTCAAAATGTAAGATTACTTGAAGAATTTGTGACAATACTGATGCTTATAAAGCCAGTTTAAATATGTATGTATGCTAGCAACTCACCTTTGCAAAGGTAATACTACTCAAGAGTCAGTTAATATCAGATTTAAGCAATGATTACCCCTTTGAAAAAAGCTAAAATAATATTGGTAAATACCATTTATTGCTGAGAAATAAAATGTTTATGTAGCATTATGGTAATATATATACTTTTATAGTGGTTGGTAGATAAAGAAACATCATTTTCTAGGAAAACTATTGCAATTTCAAACAAGAGGCATTATGTCATTGAATTAAACTTTAATTTAATGTACCACTCCTTTCAGTCAATTCTTTTAAAAGCCTTAAAACTAAGAAGAAACTGTATAAATTTATTTTTGCAGGGAATCAACTATATTTTTGGCAAACTGTAATAAAAAAAATTGGTTTGTGAATTTTTTATTTTTGCTTTCTGTAATATTTGATTTCCAAATTTAGGAGTGGATCGGTGAAGCAAAGTTTTATTTAAAATATGCAAAAGTATTCTTAATTTGTACATTAATTAGAATTAATTTTGAAGTGTTATAAATTGTTTTGGTATAGTTATTTTGTAATGTGGTTAACTTGTAGCATGTGAGATGATTGATGTCTTCTTGTACTACAGGCATATGCCAGTGAGTTAGATACAACTATTCTCTGTGAGTGGGAACGTCTGCCTACAAAGGGCTTTCCAATTCTCTTTCATGGAATTTTAGGGAGAGACCTGCGAGAAAACCTGAGTCCATCATATTTTAACCCTGAAGAAGTAGTCACTGTGATAGATTATGTTCAGGATCTTCTAACTTGCCGTAATATGCGTATCAGATTACGGGAAAAGGATATTGGGATCATTTCTCCTTACAGACGACAGGTAAGCAATTTTCTTATATTTCAAATATATTCCTTATAAATATGAAATTAAAGAGTATGATTACTTTATCTTAGTGAGAAGCTAGGTATTGTAGAATCAGAATTACACTGCATCTTAAAATATCTTTAGAGACAGTTTTTTCCATTTACTCTCAGTTTTGAACTAGATTAACATTTGATTAGTTAAATAATGTTTAAAAATGGTATATAGCATATTAAAAGGGCAAAAACTGTATATTAAAGAGGGCTGGTTGAAAGAGATAAATCAAACAATAAGGATTTTTTTAGATATGTGATGTGTAAGCAGAATGTTAGGATGTAGATTGGGCCTCTTAAAAATGTTAGTGGGGAGTTGATCTTGGAAGATTATGAGATAGTAAACTTATAAAATTATATGTTCTCTTCAGTTTTTACAAAGGAAGATACAAGTATTATACCTCAACCAGAGCACTTAATGTATGGGGAAAATTTTGATGTAAAAGATATTATTTTAAGTTCTGAAATTGTAAGATAAAAGTTGGGAAACATAAAAATTGGTAAATCCCCTGGACCAGAAAACTTTTATTCTAGAGTTTTAAAGGAAATTAAATATTTTGTTTGTGAACCTCTAGCTAATATTTTTTTATATGTCATTGAGTAGTGGAAGAGTATTAGAAGATTGGAAGTTGGCTAATGTTAGTCCAATATTTAAAGGAGGTAATAAACATTGTCCAGGCAATTATAGATCAGTTAGTCTTACATTAGTAGTTAGAGAGCTTTTGAAAAGTGTGATAAAAGATGCATTGCAGGGTCACTAAAAGCAATTTGATATAGTGTCAAAGAGCCAGCATGGTTTCACTAATTTAACAAATCTTCTGACATTCTTTGAAGATGTTACTGCAAGAGTTGATGAAGGAACTACTATGGATTTGGTTTACCTTGATTTTCAGATAGCATTAGATAAGGTGCCTCACAAAAGACTTGTTACAAAAATTAAATCTGTAGGTGTGGGGGAAATGTTATTAAATTGGATGAAAAGTAGAAAGAAGACAGTAGGAATAAATGGAGTTAGATCTGACTTGATCATAGTTACAAATGATGTGCCTTAGGGCTCTGAGCTGGGTCCTCTGCTTTTTGTAATTTATATTAATGATCATTTGATGCATTGGGCCAATGCATGGCAGATGATATTTAACTATCCAAAACATAAGGTGATTCATGTAGGTTTTCACAATTCAAATTATTGTTACAATTTAAATGGGAATACAGTAAATACAGTGGTTGAAGAAAAAGATCCTGGTGTTGTGATAAAAAAATCACTTAAGTCATTTAAACAGTGTATTGTACCTAACAATAGGGCTAATAGGCAGAAAATTTAACCGAGTTCAAGAAAATATTGGATGAATGCATGAGTAGTAAGGGGTGGTTATAGTTGGAAGCCTTGATG